TATATATATACACATACACATACATATGTGTATTTTATTCACTTATCTTTATTTCTTATTATCTGTGTGTTGTTGTGGTTGTTGTCACTATGTACTGGAAGATTCTGTCACCAGAACAAATTACTTGTATGTGCAAACATACTTGGCAAAAAACCTCTTTCTGATTCTGATTCCTTCTGATTCAAAACGTATTGCAAGCCAAAATATCTAGATCTAGATTTCAGCCCTAGCTGAAACACAGTTATAACCCAGAGGTGAATATACTGTGACATCAAGTGAGATCTAGGTGGACCTTCATCATTCAAGCACTTACTATGTACCATCAGCTTCCTTTTCTTGCATTAACCAATGAGTCAACCATCACCCATAAAACTGTGAAAATGCAACACAGCCTCACACAAACCCACTGAGATCCCTAAACTGTTTCCTTCAACACTTCAAATGTCTTTCTGTGGGAGACACATAACTTTGCTACTTCAGAACATTTTAAGAAACTGCAGGGGTGGTGCAAACTTCAGCCAATCCCATTGAAGAAAGACCTTCCTCTAGAAATGTCTTATCAAATGCACGCTTCACAGTGACACTGCATGTTATACCATCTGTGAACTGTGGACCATGTTCAAGCGATGCATATGTAAGTGCTGTGAGGTCATCGAGGACAGTATGCTTTAACAAAGTGTTTTGGTGTAGCAAAGCAACATTAACACATTCCATATGCATGGGCCCTAAAAATGCTACACAAACCAAGTCCAGATGTGCTGTTTTCTATGTGGGGATGTTGTTGGTGATGTGATGGTGGGCAGCACCCTGGCTCAACCACTTAGACAACAGCCTGAGAGTGACCAGTGAACAATTATGCAAGATAAACCTTCGCTTTGAGGTGGAGTACCTGTTGAGCCAGTTAATCAAACTGATGGCACATGGAAGTGTTTGAGGAAATACTTTTAACCTGAAATGCTTGACAATGCATAAAGCAAAAGATGAATGGTTTGTGGGCTATAAAATTCTCTGTATCATAATTAGGTCACAACAACTCCAAAATACCAACCTGATCTGATGAGAAAATGTAATTATTTTAAAAGGTGTCAATTTTGTATGAATTCATACGATGTGTTTTGAACAGAAAAGGAGATCAGGAGATCCGAAAACGTATGAATGCGATCATACTAATACGAATTAGCCACAATTTAAAAGAGCATGAAGTGACATGAGAGTGTGTTGAAAATACATATATGATTGTGAAAATATATAACATGATTTAGAAGAATCTCCTGGTCGATCTTTGAATTTCAATGTAATGACATAGATGTAAAGATTAGATTTCATCAGAAAAGTGTTCTGCACAACTTGTACATTAATCTAAGTCTTCTGATTACATATGATAGTTTTGTGTTACAGACCCAAGTTTTCACTGATATTCTTCTAGTAACATTTAAGTTATTCACTAACCATGTTAACCTTCACTAGATCCAGATCAGTGAGTCATGAACAAATCATTCAGACCATTTTTTAGCTAAATCAACCTAATAAAAACCTGACAAATCTGAATCAATGAATCATTCATTCCTCAATCTACACTTGAGAATACCATGGGTGATAATATTATCTGTGAATAAAACTTAAATATCAGCCTCACACAATCACAATAAAACGGTGAAGACTTAGGATTTAGTTCTTTGGGGTCCTTTGGAATTTTTGGCCCATTTTAAGGTGATTTTGAGTCCTTTTTGAGGCTTGACATCTTCAGTGACCATTCAACTCTTTGTGTTTCAAAGAAAGTCATAAAAGTTTAGACAAGTAAATGATGACAGACTTTTCACTTTTGGATTAACTACAACTTTTACAACCCAACTTTCTGTTATATTATGTAAAAAATAAAGTTAATTAAAAAAAAAAAACGAACTAAAATCCCGTTTATAGCATGTTTATTTAAAATGTTTAGCTAAATTTTCGCCTCGAAGGTTTTTCAGAGACAGCGTGGCATTTCAGGTTAACTTAAGCTTGCAATATGCTTAAAATAACGTATAAATAAACGCCTTATCAGCCGTCATACATTTATGCAACTCACCGATGATTTTTTCCTGATAACCCTTGGTGAAGAACTGCATGGCAGTGGCGGCTCTCCACGGAGTTTTGAGGAGCCCCTGCCGCTGCGGATCTTCCCCGAGACCCTTGAGAATGGTGGTATAAGCCGCGGCGATGCTCGGCAGGCTCATTTCATTGTCTTCCAGACTGCGAGTGCGTTCTTCCCGCCAACTCTCCATCACGCTGGAGGACGGCACGGTGCTCGGGTTCCCGGCGGCACCACCGGCGCTCCATCCGGGAATCTTCACCCGTCCGTCAAAGTGCCCATTGATCACGGCATCGGTTTCATTTTCATTTTGATTAATTTGTTTCTGTTTGGAGCGGTCCATGATTGCCTTAAAGTGACAGCTTCGGTTCCTCAAAGTCGGTTTTAGTACTACTACCTGTTTTCAATACAGTTTAAGGAGTAACAGACAAACTTGTGTGAAGTTCAACGGTGATGATACACTTGTCAAACTCAACTCAACGCTCAGTCCCGCAGAGACAGTCGAGGGTTTTATAAACATTGGCTAATCCCTGCGCGTTCCTATTGGTCGCCAGGCGCGACCGCGTCACGGAGCCAGATTGCTATTGGCCGAGAGACGTGCTTGCGTCAGGCCACCTGTCTAGTAAGAAGATGAAATCTCTTATTCACATAAGTGATGTCTTGGGGCAGATCAACCCACCGAAGGGGATTGACAAGACCTTTGGGTGATGTTCTTATCATTAAAAATAAAAGCAGTGTTTCTGAAGCGAAATGCAACATGCAACCTAAAGGTTGTACAGCTGATAACTTGTCAGTTCAGATCAGTTTCATTTCAAAATGCAGAATCAAAGTTCAGTGACCTCAGATGAACATCAGAAAACCATTCACTTCACATTTGAAGGATGCCCATCATTACGTCACTGATGTGCAAGCAACATTACACACTTTCAACTTAGAATAAGCTAAACTTTTGAATAAAGAAAACAAACGGCACACAAGGCTCAAAATTCAATATTTTAGCTTTTATTATGATTATTTGTTTTACATACAGTACAAAACTTCACAAAAACACATGTACAAACCATCCAAAGCATTCAGAATTTCACTAGATTTGAATAAGAGACCTAGTTATTAACCACCTTGCCATATTGCAAATTGCTTAAAGAGACTTTGCTTCATTTCAAATGCAAATGAAGAGACGTACGGTGCTTTCAAAAGAGCTCAAACTTGAGAACGAGTGGATCACAAATGAGCAGGCAGTCTATGTGACAGAATGAGAGGTCAGAGAATTACAGTAAACAAAACAAAAAAAACTTCAGGTTTTCCCCAAAATCAATATTAAAATAAAATGTAAAAATACATAAGCATTAAACTAATTTATGGTAAGTACTATTCTTTGTTAAATGCAAACGCAGAGAGTTTAGCAAAAGTATCCAGTGGCTTTTTCTTTTTGGTGCTGCCCTCATCCGACTCCATTTGTTCATCTACTTGTCCTTCATCTTCGCGCTTTCGTTTCTTGGGGTCAGAGTCGCCCTTTGCTCTCTCCGTCCAGTTCTGAATCAAAGATAAGATGGAATTATGTACATTCACGCACATGCTTGCAAAATTACATAAGCAATAAACGGTATCATTCAAATAAGCCTGTTATTGTAATTAAAATTGACCGACCGCCACCGCTAGCCAAGATAAATTTGTTCACGGTTCGTGTAAACAAAAGCAGCGAACATTTAACCATGATGAGTCACCGGACCCATTTCACATATGAGCACCGGGGCCCTTTTTGCACGTTCCCCCCTCACGCTGCACGCCATTCTTCATTGTAACACACTCTTTCAGCGCCTGATGCCACCCCCATGTCATTAACATAAGATCAATGAGTGCAGCACACACCCCCAGCCAGGGTTTCCAGAGCAACAGGCGTCCTAACCATTCCCCCTCCAGGCTGGAGTGTGTGAAGAGTCATTCTGCCTGCACTGAGTGGCCCCGTGGGTGCAGGGTCACGAACAGATTGTTCATACAGGAGGGAATGAGTGTTTGGAAAGCACACATACATAGACAGGTAAGTGGAGATCAGAAAACAGGAGGATACTTGCTAATAAACAGTGTTGTCATGGATAAACTGGCATAGAGCTTTAGGAGCAAATGACAAAATAGAGGAAATTGAACTAGAGAAAAAAAGATAGTGCATGAATGAAATCTGTTACACAACCAAAACACGTGCAAGAAAACAGAAATAGGGAAATTCCTAGGTAACCTTCCTGAATTTAGTAATAGACTGAATCATTTTCTCAAGTAATTAGTAAACAGTTTAAGATAAATGTGCATGTGTCACATGCACCAATAAGAATGAAAAGTCTTACCAGTCTTTCCTCTGCCGAGAGAGTGCGGAAACACCCCATGCCTTCCTTGATAACATCCATTTCCTCAAAGTCAGGATTGTCTGCGAGAATGCTCTTCCTATTCTCCTCAAGCCACAGCTGAAAGCCAGTTTTCGGCCTAAAGGAAGTAAATTGTAGTTACAGACAAGACAGTAAACAAAACATTGAAATGAATGACAACTTAAAGGTGATCACATACTGGTGTCAGCCAACACAAGTAATGAACAACTGATTAATCAGCCAATATTCTACTTTGAGATTATTGACATCAGGTAACAACCATTTGGACTGATACAATAAATACTGATTATAAATAATAATGACTGACTATAATTAATTTTATAATGGAGTTACATTATCAGCAATGACCTGATTAATGTTGGAACAACAGTACCATTGCTAAGTTTTTCATTCAAATAACAGACACTTTATCTATGCAAAATTGTAAACGTTCTTATATTTTATAGTATACCTGATTTCACTTAGACATGTAAAATGTAGACCAGCACTACCAAGAGGTTAAGGCTTTTGTCTTTAAAAAAAAAAAAAGAACAGATTTACTCTACTGCTCTCATATATTAATATATAAAGGTATTTACAAACGTAATCGTTAAAGTTTTATGGTGCATCCCTAAATTTGATATAATTAGTATGATGACTGCTGAGATGAAATACTTTCGCTTTGAAAGTAAAATAATTTGATGTTCTTACATAATTACAAAAGAAGTAAGAAAAGTAATTTCTCTCTTACTTTCCGTTTTCAATATTCTCAGCTGATGCTTGAGGTGTAGCTGCAGGAGCCGGTTTCACTTTCTCTGCTTCTGACTGGCTGTCCTCCAGTTTCTTACTGTTTCCTTTAGAGGCACTCATCTGCAGCAGAGTGGCCTGGGTCTGAAAAACAGGGCCTAGCAAATTAACACTGACTCAAAACATGTAATTATCTGTTATATACAACATGGGATTTTTGTGTGTAGCACACTTGCTAAAGAACATAATGTTGTTTATATTCCAATAGAAACACCTCTGACATTTCACCTGAACAAATGTTCTACCATCAGAACTAAACATTCTGGAGGAAAGGATACTAGATAACCAGGTCATCCCTGGCAGACAGAGCTGAGAGTGAGTTTTATGGGGTCAGACAGGGTGTGTGACCCTGCAGGGCTGGAGAACATTTGTATTTGAGCAACACACTGTACCTTGGACTTGGGTTTGGGTGCCAGGGGCTTTAGGACTGGGGCTTTGCCCTGTTTTGATGTGCCGCCGAGAGGTGCGGGTTTTCTGCTCGACATAGTCATGCTGTCCAAAACGTTAGTTGTTCTGGGCTGACCAGCTGGTGAACTTGATGACTTTCCTGCTCCAGACACCTGCAATTTAAAAATGTTTATCAAGTATTCTTGAAACACAAAATTTAAAAGGAGCTTAATTTCTTTAAAACTTGTGCAATTCTAACCTTAAAAGGGTTCACGCGTCCTTCTCTGCTCGCTGTGACACACAAGCATTTTCATTGTCAGCAGACACTTCTATATAATGGCGGCTCATTTGTGCCACACAAAGTCATTTGAAAAATGCAATCAATTTGAAAGATAACTTACAGAAATCATGTAGAAAAAATACAAAGCTGCAATTTGATCATCAAAAATGAATTCAACTGCCAACTTCCTTTTTTCCCAATTTTTTAGTTTTTCCATGTTTAACTTTTTCATATTCGATTTCTCAATTTACTGAAATCTTTATATTATATTTTTATATTCAACTCACATGGTTTAGGAGAGGGCCTTTCAGGTGATTTTCCTCCTTTTTTGAAGGGATTCAAACCTGGAAAGTCAAAATATGTTCATATCAAAAAACAGATAAAAAAATCAAATTCAATTAAAAAAATGCATAATCTTATAGTTGTGTCTACTGCAGAATTTGAGACTTGTGCTGAAAACAAGTAATGTGCAAAGATAAGTGTGTCAATAAAGAATGCTTTCATTTTAAAGATCAAGAAATATATAACTGATATGCAAAGAGCTTTTGCTTTAATATACTTTAATACACTGTACTTTTCAGGTACGAGTATGGAGGAAAAACTAGCATATTTACTAAGTTTCCTGGTCTCTGTTGATTCTTCTGCATCCATTTGCTCTTCCTGTGGATATTCTTCCTCCTCCTCACAGCCATTCTCTACTGGTGCTTGTCTTCTGCTCATCTGATTGGATCCTCTGTATTCTCTACTGGTGTGGCTAAACATATAGAAACAAAACATATGATACTCTATGCCTGCATTACCATTTTCAACCATTTTTAAGTTATTTGATTCAGAGTTCCCACACATTTTGGTCAATCAATTTCCATTATGACTACTGAAAAGGACTACAGAAAGGACTTTTAAAATCATTTTAAAGATATCACACTCACAATGCAGATTATGTATTTTAAAGCTGAGCATAACTACAAAAAAGTATTCACTATAGAAATATATAGCCTAACCTTTTTAAAACATAAGATTTCAAGAGTTTGATTTTTCTAGGCCTATAGATAGATAGATAGATAGATAGATATATATTTAATTAATAACATATTTATTCATTGATATTATCCAGAATTCTATGCTAACCTCTGATAGGCTGGCTCTTCTTCTTCCTGCTCCTCCTCCTGAAACTGACTGGCTTTTTCCAGGGCGAGTTCACTGAGTCTCTGTGCCAGTGCCATGCGTCTGGAACGAGATGCGTAACGGATGGCGAGCGTCACAACGCTGTGAGTCATCATCTCAGCCAGCTCCACACACCGGAACTCTCGCTCCAATTTACACGACAGCTGCCGCCACACAAACAGAAAACAAACAGCAAAGAAAATTATGAGATAACAAGGACAGTTCAAATAAAAACAAATCTGATCAAATGTGCCAGCTGTGCCAGAAAATTACGCAAATGCGTCAAAGCGGAGTTTTGATTTATGACATTCCAGAAATGTTTTACAGAAATCAGACGGTGAAATTCAATCCAGGCATATGGGATTGAATTTAGCCGGGCTTTAACTCCCTGTTCTGGCCACGTGAATGACTTACAGCGAACATCTTCATTAGCAGTTCCTGCTGCTCTTTCTCAGCCCGAGACTGACCCTCACTGTCAATTTCATAACCAC